CAAGAATCTTCTTCAAAGACTACAGAAGATGTCTTGAGTGAGGTACCAGCCGAGAAAGACGTTCCAGAGAAAGAGAAGAAGCCAGAAGAAAACCTTCGGCCACCGTTCTTTGAAGAGATTACAGAGAATCTTTACCTCAGTGAAAGGTGAGTTAGAAAACAGGAGATCTCAATTTGTATAATGTGAATTTTAAAATAAGGCACAGACGCAAGCTATTTTAAGGAAAGGAATGTAAAATATTTTGATTTGTGTATTTCAACTTATCCTTGATTACCATGAAGGGGAAGACAAAGCATACACAACATACAAAATGGTCTGAATAGTTTTTTTGGACAATAATGACATGAACTTATGCCATTACTTATGAAAAACCAAGAGGACTTATGATATAGCTACATAACATAATCTTTTCAATATACAGTAAAACACTTTATTCCTGAAAGCTATACGGTATATAGCACATTTTTTAACTGTAAACAGAGTTTAAATTTTGTTATTTTCTAAAATTTTGTCCCACAGGAAGAAGTCTAAGATGAGAAAAGACATCCGGCGCATGCTGTGTGAGTGTGTAACATCGGAGGAAGAACGGGATGCTGGGATAGCTGCATGTGGGGAGGACTGTCTGAACAGACTGCTCATGATAGAATGGTCAGTTCTCCTGACATACTGTTTACCTGTTTAGTTGTACTTATTATTATTGTTTTAGTTTTCTTTAGCCAGAGTAGCCCACCCAGTAATTAAACACTGCTTTGCAGTGGGGCCCTGGACACAGAACACATTGAAAACATACAACTAATACTAGACAATACTTGACAATACAAGACAAGACAATATCCGATCATTTGAGGTTTCATAGGTTTAGTAAACTAGTCTTGTCTTGCATGCTGTTGCTTGATCTGCAAAGAACTGTTAACTCCCTCTATACGTAACACACAGTACCTGAGTAAGTACAAGCTGCATAAGGCCAGACTGTAAGGTTTGAATCATGCACACCGGGATGGACCCTTAGCCTCAAAAACTGTGATGCGGTGTTAATAGACTAAGCTTAATGCCCCTCTATAGAAGTTAGAAGAGCAATTATAACTGCTGTACCTTACTCACACTTGTGTACATGTCTTCTCTATATAGCAACTGCTCTTCCTTACTGAAACATATGTCCATGTGGTTTGTTTCAGTGGTCCCCGGTGTCTATGTGGAGAATACTGCACCAACAAACGCTTCCAGAGGAAGGAGTGTTCCAGGGTCGAACCATTCAACTGTGGGGACAAGGGGTGGGGACTCAGGGCAGCTGAGGACATGATATCGTACGTTTGTAATCAAGATTCTGAATAAAGAAGAGATCTTTTTTTAGCTTATTCTACTGTATAGAACGCTAACATGAAAGTTCATGGGAGAATTGTGCTACTTTTCAACATTTTTCATTTCATTCTCTCTTGTGTTGGGAAATAGGTGAATTTTTTTCTGCTTCCCTTAAGAAGACATCTAAGTTACCAAATTCTTTAAAACTGTTGGTGGTAACTAATTTTGTAGCTTGGCAGTTAGTACCATCCAGTTTTTAGTTTTAGATCCCAACAGAAGTTGTATTCGTGAATAGTTTCATCAGGTTGGTAAGTCACTGGGTAAAGAGACTCTTTTTACACAACCAAGTCTTTTATTCAGCCGACGTTTCAGTGACCGTCTGTCACCTTCCTTGGGACAATTCTGACTGGTTCACATTGCACAGCAGCACAGGTGTTGCTGCTATAGATGCATCCCCATTCAGAATTGCCCTGAGGAAGGTGACAGACAGTTATCAAAATGTCAGCTGAATAAAAGACTTAGTTGTGTAAAAAGTGTCTCTTTACTCAGAAGTTATATTGTGTTGTAGGTATTGTGTTGTGTTTTAAGTCTTGTATTGTCCATTTGTTCCTATAGGAACCAGTTTGTGATGGAGTATGTGGGAGAAGTGCTGAACTTCAGCGAGTTCAAACAGAGAACTAAAGAGTACAACAGGCAGAAACAGCATCACTTCTACTTCATGGCACTCAAGAATGATGAGGTAAAGACAATTGAATTTAGTTTGTTAGTAATATATACATATATACAAGATGTGTAGGGATGGCTCAACGCAGCAGGGTCCTCGCCAGTTCAGTTTTGAACTGAGAGACCCCGCCTCCGCCACACCAGGCTCAAGTTCGTTCCAGTCTTTGATGGTACGAGGGAAGAACGAGACTTGTGGCCTCCAACTCAACAGAACCATTCCCAGAACTACCACTAGGATCTCAGGATTCTTTATCACTATTAAAATCAGCTGGAAAATCCACCCAGGAAATTGATTGAACCACAAACTTACTTTAAAATGCCACAAAAACCTCCTCTCCCCTTCTACTGAAAAATAAATGTGTTCACAGTTTGTGCTGTAGTACTTAGTATTTAAATCACACATTCCAAGAGTAAATTGATCGTTCTATGTTTGATACTGAATTTGTAGTCTTTACTGTATCTAAAATGTGATTTTTTTTCTTCAATTTTTCAGATTATCGATGCGACTAAGAAAGGCAACGTGTCCAGGTTCATCAACCATAGCTGTGATCCTAACTGTGAGACACAAAAGGTACAATCACCTGTAGTACCACACTTCTCATACTAGATAGGCTCAAAATACTCAACTAAAACTACAATTAGCAAAGGAAGTTTCCAGGTTGCTGGTAGAGATATTAATATGGGTACAAAAAACCTCATCCCTGGTATTAATATTATATATTGCAATCAAGCTTGTATTGTTTCGTCAAATATTACACAAAATTCCTGGTCCTTTACTTGCAGTGTTTAAAACCTGTATGTGTGTTTTGCACATTCACAGTGGACTGTGGATGGAGTCTTGTGTAAAACCTATTTTTGTGTTTTCCACGGTAGACTGTGAATGGGGTCTTGTGTAATACCTGTTTTTGTGTTTTCCACAGTGGGCTCAGGACTGTGAATGGAGTTTTGTGTAATACCTGTTTTGTTTTTCTACAGTGGACTGTGAATGGGGTTTTGCGGGTAGGTTTTTTCACCAGAAGACCCATATGTGAGGGGGAGGAGCTTACCTTTGACTACAAGTTCCAAAGATATGGGTAAGACCTTCTTTCACTATGTGTCCAGTATGGTTTCCAATTTTCACAAATAACTTGAAAGAAGCTTTGCTTTTTTAAAAGTCTGTTGTGTTGTCGATATTGCTTATTACCTTCGCCAAGAAGGTTATGTTTTCAGTAGCGTTTGTCTGTGTGTGGGTATGTGTGTTTGTGTGTGTGTGTGTGTGTGTGTGGTTTAGCAAGATAACTCGAGAAGCAGTAAATGGATTGGAATGAAACTTGGTAGGTGGGTAGGTCTTCATGAGACCTAGAAATGATTAGATTTTGGGCCCCCTGGCGGCTTTCCTAGGTACTGCAGCTGAACTTCCGGTTTTGATATCTCATGTTCTGGACATGCTAGGGTCACGAATTTTGGTTGGTAGATAGCTCTTGTGGTAGGGAAGAAGTAACGTGAGTTTGGGTCCCCTAGCGCCTTGTTCTGGAACTGCAGGAGCATTTGTTGAAAAAAATTTGAAGGACGATAACTCAAGAACCGGTTGACGTATTGTCGTGATTTTTGGTATGTAAGTAGTATAAGTGATGCTTGACATGATCAGATGGCAATTATGCAAATCAGGCGCTAATTTGCATAATTAATGAGGAAATTCTATAACTCTGCTTTGTTCGATAATAGAACTATGAAACACTTGTGACATCTACTTGAGAACGAGAAAAACATCTGAGGATATATATTATGTAAATGAGGACCTAATTTGCATAATTAATGGAAAATTCTTATAATTTCATAGTTGTAACTGCTGCACCCCGAATTTCATACTTGCCACATTTGGAAGTTAAGTGAAGGTGAACATCAACAAACATAATTTATTCAAATCATGACCTCATTTGCATAATTTATGAGGAAGTGCTAAAATAGCCTTTTTGTTATGATAAGGCTGTCATTGGATGAATATGATCAACTGACATAGTCCATGCAAATGAGGCTCTTATTTACAAAATCAATGATTAAAATTGTATAATTCGTCACCCGCAAGGGTTAACCTCATTTGGCGAAGGTATGAGATTGTGGAACTCTTGTTCCTACATGTTTGTTTTATTGACATAATTTTCATTTAGAGATCAATTGCAATTTTAAAGTGTTTAAATATATTAAAGAATCGTCAGCAGGGCACTGCATATTCTAGCTAAGACAGCCTTCTTCATTTCAGTATAAAGTTTCCAAATACTAGTACCAGCATAATTCAGACTCAGCTAAGTACTATTTTGAATAAAAATTTCAAAGATTTCAGTGGTAATTTCCTAGTTTCTCCCTTATAATGCTTTTCTGCTATTCTGTGTTTCCAGTAAGGAGGCCCAGAAGTGCTACTGTGGAGCTGCCAACTGTCGAGGTTACCTGGGGGGAAACAAAACTACTCCTGTCAGACAGAGGGCCAAGAAAAAAGTGGAGGACAACTTGGTAAGAATCACTAACGTCTTCAGCAATACTTATACCAGTAAAGACATGTCCATGCTGTATTTCTCAGCTCATATTGGTACAATGTAGGATAAAATACTGTGGAGTATTCTTACATGTTGGATTAGAATAGAAGTTTAACTTTCTTACTCAGTTGTTCAATTGTTCTTCAAGTCACACAAGGAAAACATATCATTTGTTTTTGCTCTGTTCCTTCTTTGTCTCCAAACAAAAAGATCAATGACCTAGACCAGACCTCTGTCACCAAGGTAACCGGTACTGTAGCAGGCACCTTGTGGTGTAGGGTTACGTTATGTAGCAGGACAGTTGGAGAGGCTGTTCACAATATACTAAGTATATGAATATGTTTGTGTAAGAATGAACAGAGTAGTTGTGAAAGTAAACATTATACAGTCAGCTACTGATTATTTCATAGCATCTATACCTTCAGATGTTCCTTCATTCATTCATTTATCCATCCATTCATTCATTCACTCCTTCCTTTTTTCTGTCCCAGTTGGATGAAGAGATAGACCAGATGGCAGAAACCTGTGAGGAGGGACTGACAGAGACAGAGCAGGTGCTCTACCTCTCCAGACTAATGGTACGGTCCGAGACCGTTCAGCAGAGGTTCACACTTCTCAACATTCTCCTGGTAAGACTCGTCTTTTCTTCCTGTTTTTCATATACAGATCCTTATCAGTATGGAATAGCTTAAACAGCAGCTAAGAGTAAGTTTAGGCAGCATCGGAGTTGATAGGCACATGTGATGTTTCTCTTTCTTCTAAAATCTGTTGTTTGATCTTTCCATAATTTTGCAAGTCTCTATGGTTGATCATCTTGTTCCTAAAGGCCACTAAAGACCCAGTCAAAATGGTAAACAGGCTCAGATTCCAGGGAAAATATAGAGAAAAGATGTGTGGCATAAAGACAAAGCATTCAACCAAGAGGTCCCGGGTTTGAATCCTGACATGTCACCGATCTTGTGCCCTTGGGAAACACAACTTTCTTCACCTTACTCAGGTGAAAATGAGTATGCCAGAATAATAATCATCATGATTGTGGGCATTAAAGGAAGAAGATAATAGTATGCTTCAGGAATGATCAGTGTTGTTTTTTGCAGGCCGCTAAGAACCAGTCGTGCCTGAAGGCCTGTGTCATATTTTGTAAATGTTCATTTTGTTACTGCCTTGTGTTATAACCTGATGCCTAGAAGGGAAATACATTGCAGAAGCCTAACTTACAGTAAACACAGTGTTTTTACTCAGTTTCTTCCTCCTCTTCTGTTCCAAACATTAACCTCTGACCTGGCCAATGACATGATTTGTTGATGTCTGTCACCGTGGTGACTGGTGTTGGGTTACATAATGTTGCAATTTCATCGTCTGCTCTACTCCTGTCACCATACATGTATGTGTCTGAGGGCAGACCATGTCTGAAGGTAAACATTATGCATTTGGTTTGCAAATGTTACTTCTCTAGTTAGTGATCTGTGTTGTTATTTGCAGGCCACTAAGAACCAGTCGTGCCTGAAGGCCTTCCTGCGGTACCACGGCCTGTCTCTCATCTGGAGCTGGATGGTCGACATGACGGACAGCTCCGCTCAACGGGACCTGCAAGTCAAGGTACGGTGTCAGACTTAGTAATGTTCAATTTGTTACTGCCTTGTGTTATAAGGCCTAGGAAAAAACACGTGTTCTGTTTCCTGTTCCAGCCCTGAAAAAATTAGCGTAGGTAGGTAGCGATTTTCTTCTTTTTTTAGACTTTGGCAATCTATAATGATCCAACAGTTGAACAAAGTAAATCTTGCATAAGGACACCTATACTTTCAATATCAATGCTGGAAAACTGATTGTACAACGTTTCCTCACTCAGATGTCAGATCATGGAGCTAGAAAAGATTTAATCAGCTCGAAGTATTGAAGGGGCCCACCCAAAAAAGTGTGGGCTAGGGTCGGCAGTTTTTTTCTACTGTCAGTTGAGAAACAGGAAACACAACATTTTTTCCTAGACCTAACCTGATTTTGATTATGATTCTAGCAGCCCTTCCACTGCTCAGGCTCCTAGAAGCTTGAGGCCAAGGTGGGATCGTGTGGTGTAACGGCGAAGCGTTTGGCTCGGAACCAAGGGGTCCCAGGCTCAAACCCTGCCTTGCCACCAATCTTGTGCCCTTGGGAAAGGCACTTTACATGACTTTACCGGATGGAGGCCTTGCAAACCCCATCTCGTATTAGCCACAAAAAATGCAGCAGAATCTAAAGCTAGTTGAAGGTAGCTACCTCAAAATTAAAGAAGAAGAAAGAAAGAAGGTTTCTGTAACCGATTACCCCCCCCCACACACACACACAGGTCCTGCACTGCCTGAGCCACCTCCCCATCACCAACCGCACCATCCTGGACGAGTCAAAGGTCATGGGCGTGGTGGAGCGCTGGGCCAAGCAGCTGGCCAATCAGCAGCCAGCGGACGCCGACACGGAATCCTCGAGCGGGGAGCCGCTGTCACGATCAGCTACGCCGCTCACGCTCAGTCTGGCCTACAGGAACAGCCCCTCGGAGGTAGGAATGAATGAATAAACTTTATTATCTCTCTGACTGAGGTTAGAGTGAAGGAACGAATTTAGGTTGGAGCTTCTGTGCATATGTCAGTATACATATGATATTATATACAGTATGTAGATAGCTGAATTAGTGTACTTTTGTTCATAACCATATTGTATGTATTTAACAACTCCAGGAAGATAAGCTATATGTACTATGTGAGTGAGTGATCACTCATTGCATTATAGGTAATAGAGTCAATAAAGTATCCAAGAATTTTTGTTTGACATACTTTCAACTTGTGCATTCTTACTCATGCAAGCAGATTTTGACAGAAAAGAAAGTTCAGACTGACCAGCAACTTAAACTGGAACTTATCTGAGCATGATTTCACCCTTAGGAAGTGTTAGAATGTGCCAATGATGGTTAGACATCCAGGTAATGAGATAAACAACAGTTATTATCATACTCTATTTTGTCCACTTTCTAGCATTGCCCTCACTCTTTTCTTTCTCGTTATTTCCTAAAGCTGCTGAAGTCAGAAAGCGAGAAGAACTCGGAAAGTGACAACGAGCGAACACCGGCGAAGCGGCGCCGAGTCCAACTCCTGGAAGACATGGAGAACATCAAAACCTCGGAAGACAAGGACGGAAACGACGTGAGTTGCTCCGCCCTGCCGGAAGAGACAGAAGAAAAGAAGCAGGAGGAGGAGGAGAAGATGGAGAGAATGACGGAGACGAGAAAGGAGGTCGCTGACACCAGTAGTGATGCCAAGAAAGGAGCAAAGGATTCTGGGGAGGGGGAGGAGGACTCTAATGACACACGAGAAGGTGAGATATCTTTAATTAATAATATCTATGTTTCCAAAATATAAAAACAAATTTGTATATTATAAACTATTAAGATGAAGGAATATAACCAGAATCTCTGTCCTTAGTTTTTTATGAAACCATGAGACAAAAATTTTAGACCCAGGTCCCAACAACCAACGTTACCATAGATAGCCCAAGAATCTCCTCAGAAATTTTTAGGGGAGACATACTCCCCAATTGGCTGATGAAAAATTAGGGAATTTTCATGGAATACTAAGAGAAAACCCTAAATTTTGGGGTGCTAGGATTTTGGGGAGAGAGGGAGCACCCTTGCTTCATTGCTTGGGGAGAGCCCTGTAGCCCATGCACAAGGTAGTTAGACTGTTGACTTTTAACCTCATTTCTTGACCTCTCACCCCCAGCGGAATCGGGCAGCAGCAGTGCAAAGCCTGCTGGGAATGGTGAAGAAGATGAGGAAAGTTCTGACTTGGAGAGCGAGCAGAGTCAGGAGCCAGAGCGGCCGGGTGGGATCGCCGAGATGGCCGCACAGCTGCTCGAGTCATGGAGCTCACTCAAGGTCACTACAAGTTATGAAAAGAACGTTTTAGTTAAAAGGCTGGGTGGGGCAACTTTATGTGGGGGACAGACCCGCCCAGCCCTGGCCCTTGGTTGGCTGCACAATAACAAGAGTAAGAGTTCAGATGGGAAATGTTTTGTAGTCTTTAGTGTCAGGGTTCAAGGTCAGGGTCAGGGGACAGAGTTCCATAGGTCACTTGGGTCAAAGAAGGGAATGGTCGAAAGTAGATGCTATGGTCTCAATTTTTCAACTGGCAGAAATTGCAAAGAACTACCAAGGTATCTATTTCAATCAGTTTTTGTGTATTGTTTTAGAGTGTTCGATACCATTTCAGGCACATTCAAGTGATTTATATATTCCCTAAGTTGTAGAAACATTATAATCATGTCTGTAATTTCAATCTTGAGTATTTCTATTGCCTTGTGGGATTTGACAATGTGAAATACCACCTTCTTGTTCCTCCAGGAAATCTACCGAATCCCCAAGAAAGAAAAAGAAAAGAGGGACTCTGACGTCGAATCTGAGCCAGACAACGAGAGAGACAGGGAAAGACGCGACCGGGAAAGAGACAGGGAGAAAGACAGAAGGAGAGATTTCAAGGAGGAGGAAAGAAGAGAGGAGCATCCATGGCGCATGTCTGCTAAGAAACGTCCCCTTGAAGAACCAGACAGTCACTCCACACCGATCAAGGCTCGCTGGAAGGAACTCAGGAAGAAACCACTAGACAGACCGAGGAGTCCACTGATCAAACTTAGCAAAGAGGAGAGGAGAAGGCTGTTTGAAAAGAAGGTACGGGTAGAAAATAAGTACTGTATGTTACATGTTAGTGTTATGAATGTACATTGTTAAAGGTACTATTGTCAGAAAAAGGAGCCTTTCTTATCAGTATATTACTTGGAAGTTAGCTATAGAATTTCAGATTCAAGCTCTGAAGGGAGATAGCATTAGCTAAGTTTATGATTAGGATTGGCTGATATTCTACTTTGTTTTTATTCTATATTATGCAGTTAACAGGTTTTTTTCTGTGCATCTAAATTATTAGGTCAAGTGCACTTTTGCACCTATTCCCAAAAAATATTTTTAGCCCTACAGAACCATGATCAATATCTCCTGCTATTGTAGGTTGTTGTGTACATGAATGTGTAGTTACTGTATGTTTCCATATTTGTGCATGTTCTTACCGTATCTTGTTTTATTGTAGATTCCCATGTATGTATGTGTAGTTACTGCGTGCACTTACTTTATGTTGTTACTGTACCTTATTGTAGACCTCCATATTTGTGTTTAGTTTCTATATCTCATCTTATTGTAGATTTCCATGTTTGTATGCGTTACGTAGCTACTCCATTTTACTTACTGTTTGTTGTTTTACTTTAGGTTGCAGAAGAAGAGGAGACCAAACAACGGGAACAGCAGGAGCTGTACATGCACCAGCTTCAGGCACTACAGGCCCTGGGCACGTACGACCCTAACATGGCGCAGGCTTTCCAACAGGTACAGTACTATCAAGTCTTCTGCCTTCCTCTTTGGCTAGAAATTTGCAGATTTTTTTTTCATTCTTCTATAGAATGTAAAATCTTGCTCCTTGTTTTCTGACTAGAAATTACTGTCATAATTGCAATTTCTTTCTTGTATGATTTTGTATACTACTTTTTTTTATATAGACTTTCTGTATAGTTTCTGTTCTTACTATAATGTTCCAGAACAGTTGCAATTATCTTTTTTTTTCATTATTCTATAATTTCATTAAACAAGAATCATGCTAAAAGCTTATGATACAGCATACACGTAAATGCCAATATTATTTCCTGATCTCTTTTATTGTCTTTTTTTACTTACTTAGCACTCGCACCAATTTTTAGAGACTTTCCTTTGTGATATTTTGTTGATAAAAGGTAGTAATCTTATCTTAGAGTCTCTTTCCTTTCTATGATTCTCCTTAATCCTGCTGTTCCTACATCACCTTGAGAAGGTGGGAGCAGGGCTCGAAATTCAGTTTTGGAATAGGTGCACTGGTACAATCAATCTAAAAAAAAATGGGTGCAGAGCTCCAAATTTGGATGCACTATTATTATAAATGTCAGTGTTCTCCCCAAGCAATGAAGCAAAGGTGCTCCTCCTCTCCCCAAAATCCTAGCAACTCTCCCAGAATGTTCAAATTTAGGGTTTTCTTAGTATTTCCCGATTAGGGAGCACCTCTCCCCTAAGAATTTCTGGGGAGGCTTTTGAAGGTGCACATGCACCCAGTATTTCGAGCCCTGTAGGAGCCATGCGTGTTTTTGTTTGTTTGGTTTGGTTTGTTCTGACGGTGGGTCCGTGGTTTGTTCCACGCTGAAGTATTGTTATGATCAGGACGGGGCGCCCATGTTTCCCGCCGGGCCGCAGCACCCACCACCTGATGTCGCCATGGAAACCAGTCATGTGATCCCGGGACAACCTGTGGACAACCTGCCTCAGTACCCACCTCAGGTAATCACTTTACCTTTTTCTGTTTCTCAATTTGTTATATTTACCTTCACGGTTTTTGCTCTGTTTCTTCTTCCTCTTCTTCTCCAAGCAAATAAGGTCAATGACCTGAACCATACATCTGTCACCATGGGTTTTTCTAGAAAAATTTAGCATGAGGATGCAGATCACTAGCATGGCGAGGAAGGAAAGCAAATTTTTAAAAGAGTAACACAGTTTGTAATGCTAGAATGCATTGTTATGATGCTTTTTTTAATATTATCACGGGAAGTAGATCATTTTGAGAAAGACTTCATGTTGTCACATGTGTACTAGTATGTAGCCACTTAGGGTTCAATCAGGCGTGTGGTTACGTGTTTGTAACGGTAACTCCCCGACTTGCGAGATCACGTTGTGAAGTGATTTGTCATTAATTATCCTGATGAAGATGACAGTGGTCGCTGAAAATTTGATCCCTGTACAATTGTGTGTTGGAATAAAGTTCAACGTTTTAATATATGATTACTACCAACCCAGATGAACTTTCATGATAATCTCTAATATTGTTTGTGTTGTGTTATTAGGAGTTCTTGGATGACAGTCTAGGAGCAGACCCTATGGACCAAATGCGGTTGGAGACCAGCCTGAATGTGTCGCACCTGTCAGGGCTAGAGGATCCAGGCACCCCCACCTCATCACTACCTACCACTCCTCAGCCTATTCCTGTACTACAAGTGAGAGAACAGTTATGTTTAGTAACCAAGGTGGTCTTGGGGTTAGAGTAACTTTTGTTGACTCAGAATTTAAAGGCTCTGGGTTCACATCTCATTCGTCTTCCACTGAACTCTCAGTTGTTGCCAAGGTCTTTGAATGATATTTTTTTTATCTATTCACATATATCTGAGTATCAGGCAAGAAGCACAATTGCTTATATAAAGCCTTCTACTCAAGAAAATAGATACAAATGAGTAAAGCACAATAACAAAATACATATTTTATTTACATAATTACAAAGTGGATAAAATAAAGATAAATGTAAACAAGACAAGTTGGTGATCTATCAATTACAAAAATCTGCCTGTACAATAAATAATGATCAATCAATCATCTTGTGTTTTATATGTTGCTGTAATTTTTGATATCAATGCCATTTAGGCTGCCACTATGAATAAATGTTATTACTCTGCTGCTCTGCTTTCAGTCCAATGTGCCAGTCCATCCCGTCACTAGCAGCCAGCCACCCCCCGCAGTGGTGGTACAGTCCGTGCCCTCTCCTCAGGTCAGCCACATGCAGCAGCCAGTGCAGGTAAAGAGCTCCGATTGGTCAACAACTAGCCAATCAGAATCAGCATTTTAAATTTGAATTGAAAGTTTTTGAGGTAGTGTGTATCTGTCATGAATGCACGGTGGACTGGTCACTGCAAGAATAAAATACATATTTGCGGAACAGTTTGCAGTATGTGGTCAACAATAACTTCAAATGATTCTTCTTTCTTGTATTCAATGTTCAATTTGTGGGGTCGTGTGGCACAACAGTAGAGTACTCGACTCGGAAGCAAGAGGTTCCGGGTTCGAGTCCTGACATGCCACCGATCTTGTGCCCTTGGGAAAGGCACTTTACACGACTTTCCTTGCTTAACTCAAGTGAAAATGAGTATTGTCTGTCCTGTATTTGTTTCTATGTGTGGGACACAACACCAGCAACAGCTGCCTGTGTCCCACGTATACTGTTCTGTTGCAATTTCAATAAATCAAATCATCATCAATTTCTCAGCCAAGGCAACAGCAAATCCCGGTAACACCCCAGCCACTCCCAACTGTCCCATCAGCACAACAACAACACTCAAAAACTGCAAGATATGTTTTCTAGCAATTCTTTCCAACTGACAAACAATTATAACGTTTTTCCTCACATTTATTCCTCAGCCAAGGCAACAACAAATCCCGGTGACACCACAGCCAGTTCCAACTGCACCAGTACAGCAACAGCTAACAAACAATAATGCTTTGACTTTGACTTTATTTGGATCCACATTTAGCTTTAGCATTTAGCTTGCTATTCTTCCAGTGGTCCATTACATAATAAAATACAACAATACAAAATTAGCAATTGCTATCAACTCTAAACCTTTCTTTCCTCACGTTCATTTTTTAGCCAAGGCAACAGCAAATCCCGGTGACACCCCAGCCACTCCCAAGTGCCCCACCACCAGCACAACAACAGCAGCAACCACAGTGGGAACAGGGCCAGCCAGTCAGCTACGTGGTCAACCAGCAACAGCAGCAGCCTCCTCCGTACGACATTCCACAGCCTCCCATCGTTCCACCTCACCAGATACCTCCTCCTCAACAACAGCAACAACAACAACAGAACATCGTGTATCAGCAGGTGGGTGGAGTACCTGGGTTCTCACCAGCATTTTTTCATAGCATAGGGGTCAGGGACAGTAGGACAACTTTCCATTGTACTTAACCCAGTGGGTATATATGTACAATATGGGTCTTTGTTCATTCACAAAAAAAATGTTTTAGGTTTCATAGCTCTAGAAATATCTGTATCTGTATAGCCGGTATAACCGCCCTTCGGCACAACACACCAGCTTCTGTATCTGTATAGCCGGTATAACCGCCCTTTGGCGTAACACACTAGCTTCGCAGGCACGCGGCGCGGCAGCAGCTGGTTACATTACAACGATCGACTCGTTACACCTAACCCTTGAACATCTAACTCTAGACATTATTTAAAGCTATCTAATGACAATGCTCCTACTGTACTTGGTGACAGCGAGTTCCACTATGCGATAGTTCTAGGAAAGAATGAATTCTTGAATGCCTCAATCCTTAGTTGATAATTCTGGTACTTGAAGGCATGGCTATTTCTTGTTCTCTTCAATAACGTGCATAATCTTTCCCCCAGCCGATGACGTACACAGTCCAGCCCACCTACGTGCAACCACAACCTCCACCTCGAGCCGTGCTACCTCAACCTCCACAGGTCAGTCGATGTTTGGTATTTTTGATTACATAATTAAACCTAGCAGACTCTATTATGGCATGCATAGTGCAGTCGTAACCAGCTCTGTTAGGTTAGGAGTCCGAATCCCAGCTGTGTGTCTATCAGCTACTGTGAGAGGCTTGCAGTCCTCTGGACAGGATGCCAAGCCGTGGTCCACTGTTCATTGTGCTTGTTGAAATGTTATTTTCATGTTGAAAAGTATTAGGAGAGTTCCCCAGTACAGTGAACCTGTATAGTCTGTACATGGGGTCTGTCTTCCCTGTCATGACTAGTGGAAGAGTAGCTTAACTGTTAATTCAGCTCATCAGAGCAACCTTTTTTGAGCAGCCTTTTAGTGAGGATTACTAGTCAGAGCTACCAAACTGATCAGATTTAAGACTGAACCCTTTTATTTTCTCTCCTGTGTAGGTTCAGTACATCCAGCCTGGCCCCGGAGAGAGCCAGTTCTACCCCCAACCTCAGGGTGTGATGATCCAGCCAACATACTCCCAGTCAGGACTGGTACATACTCAGGTCATGCAGCCTATACAACAGGTTTGTTTGTTTGTTTGTTTTAGGATCTCTGTTAGTCTAACAATCAATTTAACACTATTCTTCCTGGAGTCTGCTCCAATACACTACAGTTCTAAAGGAACATTTTCTCACCAAATCTTACAAGGAAAGCTACCCAGCAGTTCCTTTTATGTTTACTGAAGGAAAACATTTTGTTTTTGCTCAGTTTCTTCTTCCTCTTCTTCTCTAAACAGTGACTTCAATGACCTGAACCAATGTTGTGTCTGTTACCTTGTTAACTAGTATTGGGTTATATTATGTTGCAATTTTATAGCAGGAGGGATTTAGACTCCTGTCTGACCATATATATGAATGTGTTTGAGTAAGAATTAACAGAGCATACCATATGCGAAGGTAAACATACATGTGTACACATGTATGCATTTGCCTTGCAAATATTACCTCTCTAGTTGTAACTGTTTTTACCTCCTTTCTGTGGATTTTGCAGCAAGCCGTGATGGTGACACCACAGCCAGTGGTGATGCAGCCGCCCGACATTCCATCCCCTCCCAAACCTCGCATGCTGAGACTTCCTCCCAACTGGAGGGCAGCCAGGGACCAGGAGGGCAAGGTCTACTACTACCACGCTGTTACAAGGTACAGTAAAACTATTTATTTTCACAGGTAGAAGGGAAACAATGTTTTTGTGGAATTTTGAGCACGTATGGTCCAGTATGGTAAACCTATTTTTTTACAGGTAGAAGGGATACAAGATTGTTGGGGAAAAAAAGCAAAATGCCTAGCTTTCAAATATACTAAGGGATGACAAATGTTAGGACACAAATTGAATGGGAGAACACAGGGTAACAACCAACAAGTCTTTTATTCATCATGAAAACAGCAATAAATCAGTGGAACAGCAGCATCTTCCCTTATCCCACTGTCACGACTCTTTGGTCATAGTTACAGGAAGCGTTTTTTTCTGGGAACAGGCCAAAATCAACGCAGGCATGAACGTCATCCATAACAATTCCTTGGTGTGGCTTTAACTGTATTTCCTCACTGTTGCCAGACAAACCCAGTGGGATCCTCTGTTATACAAAGATCTCCAGTCTCATATGTATTGTGTACTGTAGGAATGTCTTTAATGTTAATTGTATTTCCTGACTGTCCACCAGACAAACCCAGTGGGACCCCCCGTCGTGGGACGGTAATGAACCAGAGTTGGGAGGAGACGAGGCAGACATGGACCTGGGAACTCCAACTCACGACGATCATCATAAGGTAACTACTTCTCTTAGTGAACTTTTGTTTCAACACAAAAAGTAGATGTTCTCACCTAGAGCTTTCGACCAGTCACTGTGGTCTTCCTCAGTAGACTGACCCAATGAGTCAAAAGCCATAGTTCAATCGACCAAAAATTTATGGTGAGTTCTTTTCTTGTGTTGGAACAAAGCTTGAACTCTATAACTTCTCTTAGTGTTCAAATGTTAGCTTAGAGCCCAGTCCTACGATCACAAAGTGTGGATATTCCTTGTGCAAGTGTCTCCAGCTGTCCTTGTATTGAAAAAGGCTGTCTTAGAGCCAAGTGGTATAAAGTAGGTGCCTATTTCTTTTCATAGCCATTGTCTTACTATACAAGTTCTGTAGGAACTTGCCAGAAGACATGTATAATTAATGACTGGTTTTGTCTGTTTCTGCCCAGGGCAAGAGAAAACCGACCAAGGCAGATGCGGACACGTCTTGCGAGACAGCACGGAAATGTAAAGATGTCTTCAGGAAAAAGGTAAGTAATTATCAAATCCTTAAACATCTGTAATTTGCTGTAATATGAGTCAAAAGGCTAGTGGTGTTATGAGGATAGCTTCTTCATTTAAACCTGTTACCTTTCTAGTTTGTGTTTGATTTTCTACCAGTTCCTTCCTTGTTTGTTGATTGTATTTATGTATTGTAGATGGCGACCTTTGTGGTGTCCATCCTGAACCCTTACCGGAAGCCTGACTGTAAGCATGGTCGCATCACGTCTACAGAAGACTTCAAACACTTGGCTAGAAAGGTAGTCGTCTTGTCTTTAACATTACATAATGAAGTTAATTGTACAACAATTTTACAAGGTATAACATATGACATCTACTGCTATATAATAACAAACATACTATCAGACTAATCTGCCTTGCAAAAACAAATGTTATATAGTATAAGAATGTGCTTTTGTGGAATTCCTAGCATTTAAGAATAACAAAGGCGATGTTATCAGTTTGAAATCTAGGTACTTAGTATTGGAAGTGTAGCTTTTGGGTCTTTTATCCTTATAAATGGGCCTTGAGAGTCAATGAAACTAAACCCAAGCCTTGTGAACAGTCTATCCCTTGAAAACACTGTTTGATCAAACTTTGCTAATTTTGTTCATATGGCTGTTCATAGCTATACACTCACACACTAAATAGGAACAAGTTGTTACTTTGGACCCACTCAAAGATTATATTTTTTGCATAACCCTTTGTTAAGATGTTAATTGTGACAATTTTTTTCCTTGCAGTTAACACACGGGATCATGAACAAGGAACTGAAACATTGCCGGCACGTGGAGGACTTGGAAGTCAACGAAAACGTCAAGAGCAAGGCTCGGGAATACGTCCGCAAATACATGAGCAAGTTCGACGGCCTGTATCAGTCTTCGCCACGTGAGGAAGTTTAAAACATAAAAATCGGACAAATTGTACAAATATTACCAGTGAAATGTTGATACTGTGTATCAAGGTGGACTCAAAAGTACTCACAGTAACTCTTTATTTGTCCGAAACAATTCTAGGGACATGTCAGAGACAGCAGTGTCCAACTTACTGTGGTCACAAGTGTAAAATAGTTGTAGCTCAAACGCACTGGTTTTTTATGTATACATATAGAGCAGAAAACATCAGGAAATAATTGTGAAAAGAACTTGGTGCTTTTTCTCTGAGAGTCATTCTTAGGGCATTCTTGTAATGTAAGTCTACTGTACATACTATTAACCTTGCTGTGACACCTGTTTTTGAAGTGGAATAGTCCAAAACGTGGTAAACTAATGTAGTTGCAGGATCTAATACTTTGAAAATAGGGGTGCAAACTCATATTTGATGATAAATTTGGTGCTCATGTACACAATGTACAGTATATTTTATCAGACTGGGGGTTGACATAGTAGGTTAAGGTTTGAACACCCCCCTTAACTAATAGCGCGGTCCAAAACCGAACATGTAGTGACCAAAGAAGCCAGAATATTTCTACACAACATCTTTCCTTTTTTTTTACCTAAAGTTTAGTTGATTCCTGTAGTTTTTTTTAAATGTTTAGTTTTGTAAATGTTTTAAAGAATGACAGGTTCCAGGGAATAATTACAGCGTTGTCGGAAAAATAATCTGTAAATGTGTGTTTTAGCGCATGTATAATGATACATTGTAGTGTTGAATTTGTCTTAATAATGAAACAGTATCAGAACACAGGTTGTATGAATTTAATGCAGTGCAGTTCTCCCGAAAAAGCTGCGCATTTTGTACTTTTTGTAGGGAATTTTATTCAATGTTAGTACAATACAATACAGTGGAACGGTTAAGCCCTACACAGCCATAACAAACACAGGTCTCTGTTGTATTATGTCTCTGTGGTGGTCGTCTTTCTTACAGGCTAACTGAATTTATATTTCATCTGGTTGGTGTTTCAATGGTTAACTTCTTACTCGAGAGAACCATTCCCTGAACTACCAATAGGAGCTTCTTTCTCACTATGAAAATCAGTCCAATAGGAGCTAGTCAGGATTTTTTACCATTTTGAAAATCAGTCCAATAGGAGATCAGAATTCTTTACCATTATGAAAGTCAGTCCAATAGGAGCTCAAGATTCTTTCTCACTATGAAAATCAGTCCAATAGGAGCTCAGGATTCTTTGTCACTATGAAAATCAGTCCAATAGGAGCTCAGGATTCCACATAACCAGTCATAACAACCTCCAAGACTTAGAATGGTAACAGAATGTTCTCAGTCTTACAATAATTGTTCCATGTCAGTGCATATGCATAGATATTAAGATATTCCAAATTCTCCTGACTTAGAGGCATTGGTCATCAACTTAGATATCTGACCAGTGGAAAGGCTGCTGGAAGCTTGATATGTAGTCAGGGACCAGGCTTAGCATTCTATACGAATCAAATAGAATTTGAGTCAAAGTTGACCTCTGGACACGCCCCAAACACTGCTAACCTATTCCCAACCACTATGGCTAAACCTCCCGTCCACACCCAAATGCTTTTAACATTTTGAAACATTTGGTGGGTGTAGCCAAACAGTAACCAACCTCACCGAACACAAGCCAACCTTGCTCCCAACCTACCTAACAATGGTTGGGGGAGTTTGACAGTGTTCTGTAGGCCACATTCAAGATTCAACTATGTGTGACGGGGGCTTAAGCTAAACGAACTGATTCCAAGCATAATCTCCAAGCGGATCATACGGTGGCAAAGCAGTACCCATTGGCCAGAGGAGTGTTCACTAGCCGCCAAAGATCTGCCAGTACTCGCACAGGGAGGAGCACTTCTTTTCAAAAATGGTGTTGCTGCCCCTCCTTGTGCCTTCTGTGGCTTATGGACACTCCTCTAGCCAATGGATACTGCCTTTCCACCGTATGATCTGCTTGGAGATTAGATTCCAGGTCAGTTTTCACCCCTTCCAACACATGTTGGGGAAGCTCTCAGTGTGGGTCGAAGCCGATGACGATAGTTTCCAGCACAAAGATGATGAACTTCTGGTAGATGTCCTGGTACTTCCGTGTGAACCTGTCCTCCATAACTGTGCCTACAGCTGCCAGGAATGGGCCCTCCAGCTTCTGTACATAAAGGTATGGGGTTGAGGCATCCAAAATATATCTGGATGAGGAAATCTGACATAGACACCATTTCTCGGCACATTTTCGTCATCATTTCATACTTGAAACGTTTTAAATAGTCCCAGAACAAGCTGGGAGGCATATCTTGTGTTTTTTTGTGACCACCAATTAATAACCAGAAACAGTCTGAGGTCAAGCAAGCATTTTCCTTCTGCTTGGAGAAGAAAAAAGAAGAACTTTATTGTACAATAATTGTACCGGTATGGCAGCATGTACATAATACATATAGTTGGTATTGCTAACATTTATCTAACAGTTCTAAGAAGCTACCTTTTTTTATAGATAACAATAAAGACACTCTAACTATATTACTCCAGCCCTAATGATAATAACTTACCCAGAGGTCCTCCGGCAGTATGATGGGGTTGGTCATGTCAGCGTGCATCTGTCCTAGCTTCTTAAGCTCAGGGATTAGATAGTCTGGGTCATCCAGGGAGTCTGGGGGAGAAAAGTTGTCAGACTCTTAGTAAAACGTTAAACTTTATTCCAACACACAGTTTACACAGAGGCCAAATTGTGAAGTGATTGGTCAATGATTATCCTGATGAAGGTGACAGTGGTCGCTGAAAATTTGATCTGTGTACAATTTGTGTGTTGGAATAAAGTTCAACGTTTTACTATGATTACTACCAACACAGATGAACTTCCATGATAATTGTCAGACTCTTATTACCTCTGCAAAAAACAGGGTCTAAGACAGCAACAATAGCTGGAATACAAATGTAGGTGGCAGAAGAAGTTGATGAGCTAAGCACTTTGATATGGTAAGGGATACGAAATATTCCTGGGATGTTTGTAACCTATGTCTCATTGATTTCTCGAAAAGGTATCTGTTCTTCTTCTTCCTATTCTGTACAAACCTCAATTGGTTGAGGGCTCCAGCACAGTGGGGGTGGGGGTATTGAATGGGGTGGTCGCTCGTACAAGTTTTGTGTGTGTATGTTGTGGTATACCGGTATAGCCGCCCCTCAGCTTAACACACCAGCTTCGCAGGCACGCGGCGTGGCGGCAGCTAGCTATATCACACCAAATGACCTGTTACACCTAATCTTTGCACATTTAATTGCAGGAGTTGTTTAACGCTTTCTAGTGATGATGCACCAACTTTAATGATAAGAATGTCTTGAAATCGCACGACAAACTGCAGTACAAGACCCTTACCTACTACATGGTCCATCGCGCTCAGGATCCGTACTGACAACTTCTGTAGGTACGGACTGCTCCGCATTTCATCCTCCGTCAACTGCCGCAGCTGTGGCCACTTGTCTTTGATCTCAGGACTGCATCGAAAGAGGCTACAGAAGATCATATATAACCAGTTAAGAGTTAGGCCATGTTGATTTGATTATATGGATGACATCCGCGCGCGCATGAATTTTCGGCCGTTTCCCAAAAAAAAAAGTTTTCAATCATACTGTAAATCATACAATCAACAGTTACAAAATGAGCAAATATATACCGTAAGGTACAAAAAAATATTTGAAAATGATACCATTGTCGTAGAATGACAAAATTAAATGAAAAGGACGAAAATGTGAAGAAATTGATTTGGAGTGTAGATTATTCGCCATACCATACTCTGTGTCATTTGTTCAACCTTCATGACCATGTAGATTTCATGATGAAAGCAACTTTTTTTTTTGCAAAACTTTTTTTTATTCGCACGCTCGCATCAGTTTTGGGGTCCCCAGAGGATGTCATCCATATAATCAAATCAACATGGCCTTAGCTTTGAGTTTGAGTTTTATTTAGATCCACAATTAGCCTCATAAGAGGCTATTCTTCCTGTGGTCTACACGTTCATATTTACATACATATATTACAAACGTACAAAAACTTTACAAAACTAACAGTACATGGCAAAATTTACACAATTCCTTAAATACACTATTTACAATCCAGTACTTAGCTGTAGTCTAGCCGGTATCTCTTTCATTGGCCTCCCTCCCTGCCGAAACTTCTACTTAGAGAATATCCGAAAGTATCAGAAGGTCCTTATACATAAGCAAGTGCAATCTAGATCAACAGAAACCATGACTTATACTGCCGCAAAAAACGGGATGATGCTGTTCCTTTACAAGTCAAGTTTGTCCTCTTTCAGTAGAACGAGTACCGAGGTTGTTTAACAAACAAAAAGCGAACAGCCTATCTCCCATGGATCGTTGTACGGCGCTTCTAGATACGCACACTGACCATGCCGTATGGTCCTGTCCTTGGTGCTGAACGCCATCCACCCCCCTCCCCACGCACAAAATAACAAGTGCGTTTCGTGAAAAATCACGCTTCTATCGACTACCGTAAAAGGATATCTCGGCGATACCACACTTGCTGCATCCAAGCACTTAGATTTTGCGACAATTTCATGGCAAGGGTACCGAAGTAACGGGTTCCTCACTGGCCGCCCAGTGCGGAACTCGCGGGGAAACTTGGCGTCGGCACTTTGGGCCCTGTGCGGAAGAAAGCACCCTGGAAGCCAAACTCGTTTTCCGGGCCGCAAGAGCCCTTCGCCCGCTGGTGTAAATTACCGCTACGAGGGAGTCTAGCCCGGGGGGGGGGGGTTGGCTGGCCCTCTGGCTCAACTCCCCCCGTAGCTTTAATTTAGATAGGCGGGCGAAGGGCTCTTGGCTGCCGAAGGAAAACGGCCAACGGCCCGATACTAGCTTGGCGCCCAGGGTAGGAAGAAAGGCGACTCAAGTTTGAGATCGATATCGATCAAATGCAAAACAAAGTAACTAATTATAACACTTACTTGATAAACATGGCCATAGCCGCTGTATCCTCGTTCCTTGCCACGGTTTTCCACGACTTCTGCAGGAAGAACTTTTCCCTGGGGTGCAGTCTCAGCCGCGGGTCCAGAGGCTTGGGGGAGTCCGGCGGCGGGAGCGGGGCGCCTTTCTTCCGCCGGGCGCTTTGCTTGGATGTTCCGCTGCCCATCTCCGGCTGCCTTCCGTGGGGTCTCAGCCTATCTTTGTAAAATCATATACCAGATTTCCTAATTGATTACGAAAATAGTATCATGCAGATTTTCTAGACTTATTTCACATTTTTAATGAATAGTCTCTTGTCTAAGTTTCTGCCAAATTTCATGCTATTTCGTTGCTTCAAACTGGAGATATTCTTGATTTCCCCTGGCTGCAATGTGTTATCTGTATTGCCCCTGTTAAGTTCTCGGGACTCTGGGATGTTAAGGCCTGGTCATCTCCGGCTGCCTTCTGGGTCTGAAGGCAGCAATTTCAGGATCGCTGAACAAAAATCTGGCTGATATTGATATTTAGTGCGATTTCATAGCACATTCTTGGCATTTTAAGCGTTTAAAGTACTAGTAGCCCCCCCCCCAAAAAAAAACTGAATAAAAAGTGAATGATTTAATGAATGAATGAAGCTTTGTGAACATGCTTTGCGTTGTATGTACCCTACCCGTATGCGCCCTGCACATATGCTTATATTACACCAGAAGCACACAATAAATTATACATATATCAATAGAAAGAGGTACAAATTCACACAATATAGAACAAAACTACGATGATAGATACTATACAATACAATACAGGCGTGCAGAATTATCAAAGAATCCGTACTTACTTTTGATCCGGTTTGACCTCTGACAGATAGATCGCAAAAGTCGCCGAGATTATCAAATAAGTCAGTTGAAGGTCTTTCGTTTGGATGGATATTTTCGTCTTATAAGTTTATGCCCAAAAGCAAGCCAGCTATATATTTGCAGTCGACAATGAGAGATGAACAATGATGTCCGTCGTTTGAGTAGGTTGGACGGAAAGAGGATTTTGCTTGTGATCAATATTTAAAAGAACCGGCATGGACAGAATCCGGATTTTTTGGCGGCTGCTTTTTTCATTGATCTTCAAAGGCAAAGAGCTTAAAATCTTTATTATTTAGAACTGACCCACATTGCTAAACTTGTCGGAATGAGGGATGTGGCGTGGGTTTGTTTGCTTTTCTCGCATAACCAGTATAACATGGCCAATTTTGTGCATGTATGCAATAATAACAAGCATATTCTCACCCCTTAGTGTATAACTGTCAGCAATCCTCTTTCAGTAGAACGAGTACGGGGGTTGTTTCGTTTAGAAACAAAAAAACGAACAGCCTATCGTCCATGGATGGTTGTGCTGCGCTTCTAGATACGCACACTGACCATATCGTATGGCCCTGTCCTTGGTGCTGAACGCCATCCGTCCCCTTCCCACACGCATATAACAAGCGCGTTTCCTGAAAAAAGCGCGATTCTTTCGACTACCGCAAAAAGAATACTAGTTTCTCGGCGATACCACACTTGCTACATCTAAGCACTTACATTTTGCGACACTTTCATGTCAATTGCGACATATATCAGTTCATTTTATAACAGTTTAGGCCATGTTGATTTGATTATATGGATGACATCCGCGCGCGCATGAATTTTCGGCCGTTTCCAAAAAAAAAAGTTTTCAACCATACTGTAAATCGTACAAAACAGTTGCAAAATGAGCAAAAATATACCGTAAGTTACAAAAAAATAAGTAAAAACTATAGCAATGTCGTAGAATGCCAAAATCAAACGAAAAAAGACGAAATTGTAAGGAAATGAACTTGAAGATTAGATTATTCGCCAAACCATATTCTGTCCCATTTGTTCAACCCTTATGACCACGTAGATTTCATAATGAAAACAACTTTTTTTTTGCTAAAACTTTTTTTATTCGTCACGCGCGCATCAGTTTTGGGGCTCCCGGAGGATGTCTTCCATATAATCAAATCAACATGGCCTTACCAAGGCTTGAAAGCGGGTGCGTGCCTCAAACTTCCCAATCTTTTCCATTGGGTTAGAATTCGAACCCGAACCAAGTTCGATCTTGCGTAATTCAAAACGCTGATGGTGCACAAAAATCAGGAATTACGGCGCGTGTGAATCACCAACCAGACATCTATGAGACACATAGTCTCTATCTCTATTGATTGTTTCATAAGATTAAACCATTAACAGTATCCCCTTGGACCCTACTAATGTTCCTGACTTTTAACCGAGCATGTAACCTCCACTTTAATGTGCAGATTAGTGTTTCCACCGGACACGCTGCGTGTGAACTAAGGCTTAAGTTACACGAACTCAAATGTGCAAGGATTAGGTGTAACAAGTAGTTCGGTGTAATATACTAGTAGCTAGCTGCCGCCGCGCCGCGTGCCTGCGAAGCTGGTGTGTTACGCCGAATTAAGGGCGGCTTTTCTGAATGCACTGTGAAGAAAATATTTGGGTAGAACATCTTATTGAAGGTTGTATTCGTGCATTTAAGGATGACATCTCGTCTGAAGTTTTTAGATGCTGTACCGTAAAAGTAAAAGATATCGTCTGCAACAGGCAAAATTCTGATACACATGTACAACTTTGACCAAACATCCAACGAAAACCGCGAAAAATACGGGTTTCGCGCTCTGTTGCAAACACTTATAATTAATTCTTTATCGGACCAACTCCCCTGGCATGCTCTTTATCTATATCTATTTGGCCAATCTCTACTCTTTTCAGCCGCTTCCCGAAGCCTGGTAGAGGCTATCCATATCATGACGTCAGAAAAGAATGCCCCCAAGCCATGTGTGGTGTGCGCTCATTTGAATAATGCCTGAACCGGTTTTTCCGTCTCTGCCTTTCGCGAGATAAAAAGATTGTAGTAAAGTTGTCTGCACACTACGATTATGGCGGCAAGTATGTAGAGTACGTAGAGAAACCTGTCTGATTGCCAAATATTCAACCGTCCAGTGCCATAGGTAAGTTATTTTTTATGATTGTTGAATGTAAAAACATGAACATAAGGACTGGGGTTGATACAAAGATTTTCTTGCTGATTAAGCTGTAATTGGTCTGTGTTCCCTAGTATGCCATGAATGAAAGAATTACACAGGAATCCTACCAAAACCGTTGACATGAAACAATCTCTTCGTACATTTCCACCAATAAAGAAAAGCAAAAAGAAGGCAAATTCACTTACTAGACTACATTGATCGTACTAGCTTGGTGATCATATACTTGTATCTGTAAATTATTTTGTTGTTGTTTCTGTGGTTTTTGCTAACTATGCATATATGATTGGTTCTAATGCTGAGTTTTATGTAAACAAAAGTTTCTGCGCGACTGATGAAAGGTAAATGTTTACACGAAGATAGACAGTCCATGTGTCTTCTATGTGGATAATACGTGTATCTATGTCGACATTTTGGGAGTAAAACGCCTTATATATTTCTTATTGTTTCCTTTGTGTTTGTGGAATGTTTAGATTGTTGTTTATCTCAATGGGGAGGGAGGGGGGCAAGTACTTATGATCTAACTCGTCGAATGTTCAGGCCAGTCTATGATTCCGATTCCGATTTAATGAATATCGACTGGCATGTCACAGTGAAGTGCATGGAATATGTCGAGTATTTACAACACACCGCCCATTATTACAACTAGATAAGTTGGCATAAAATCATATAACATATGTCTGCATCATTATCGTTAGAATACAGCACAAAAGCTTATCATAACAATGAATACATCAGCTAAAACATGCAAAATAAGTATTAACAGAGATTAATAACATCATAAAACCACTAAGATAATACAGAGATCAGGTCTTAGACAATACTAGTAACTTCAGCGCATGAGGTACAAAAGACTGTTCCAGTCCATGAGCATAAGGTGCCTTGTTTGGAGCTTCCCACTATTTACCGAAATGCCACTGGATGTAATAGACATGAAGAAGGGTAAAATCTACCTCCCATGTTTTTTTTTATTCGTCAATACATCAAAACATAACAAGGACAGTGTGGCGCTGCACTCAAGTTTCCCACTCTTTTTGTTCGACTCTAGTTTCTTACAGGAAACACACAAGTTCGTCTAGTAAGGCCACAGTTTTTGTTGACGCCAGACGCCATGGCTGATACAAGTCTGATGGACCGAGTCCGGGTCAAACTGGCGGCCGTCAACCTTTTCAAGAAGGTGGAACTACCGCCTCCTCCTGAACTCCCCCCGATACCGCAGATCGTCGCCGACGTCGCGAAGATTCCCGAGGAGTCGAAGGCGGTACTGCGGACGCGAAGCTTCTTGGACGACGTGGCGGCGGCGCTTTATAGGAGCGTCAACAGGTGAGAGGCGATCCGGGGAGGGAACAGTTTGCTACTGGGACTTGGTGATTGTCAAAATGTTCTAGAGTTGAACTGTGTGCTTTGTTTGTAATATGTAAAATAGCAACAAAAAATTCTTGTGAGTGTCAAGATTTATGTATGTGTATGGTCAGTGTGTCTGTGTCTATACGTGTCTATGTGTCTGTGTGCGTGAGTGTGTCTGTCTGTCTGTCTGTCTATGTCTGTGTGTGTGTGTGTGTGTGTGTATGTGTGTGTGTGTGTGTGTTTGTGTGTCAGTCAGTGTGTGTGAGTGCTAGTGTGCGTGTCTTGTGTATATGTGTATGTGTGTGTGTGTCTGTTTGAAAAAGAAAGAGAGTATGTGTGTGTGTGTGTGTGTGTGTGCGTGCGTGCGTGTGCGTGTGTGTGTCTGTGTGTGCGTGCGTGAGGGAAAGAGCAGCAAAGCACAACAAATCATATTATGAATGTATATTTTTTTGACATTTGGTATGCGGTAAGCTCTTGTTAATTCACGTACACATATATCTGAACTGTTCTCAGGGATATCCGTGCGGGTAAGAAACAGCTTGTGAAAGATGAACAGTTCATGAAGGCCCGTCTGTACGACTGTATGTGTGACAGTCTTTATAACAGAGACTTATATCTGTGTTGTCCTCAGGGATATCCGGCCGAACTTCGGGAGCAGTATCGCCAGATTTAGGCCATACATACATACCTTTCTATACGAATCGAAACGAATTTGAGTTAACTTTGAGTCAAGTTTCACTGCCAACCACCTCGCCGAACATCACCAACCGACCCAGTCGACTTTTTCTTCGGCCTACTTTTAACCACGGTTGATCGTACCTCTGAATGTGTGACAGTCTTTATAACAGTATATCTGTGTTGTTCTCAGGGACATCCGTGCGGGTAAGAGGCAGCTGGTTAAAGATGAACAGTTCATGAAGGCGCGTCTGTACGACTGTATGTGTGACGAGCTGGAGAAGTCAGGCCGGGCAGACGACATCAGACATGTGGAGATGGAAGTCACACACAATCTGCTCACTCCCGCAAAAATGGTAAAGTTCTGTTGTCTGGAATAAATCACAAGCCTACATGTAGTTGACATACCAGGTTTCTGGCTGGGCCGGGGTTTCTGGCTTGTTATTTCAAGTTACGAAATCAGTACTAGTATTTTATGCGGATAAGTTTTGAGTTTGTCTCTCTGCCCTAAATGCGTTGGTTGCATGTTGGGTGGGAGGTGATTTTGACAGATGATTGATAGGGAGGTCACTTCTGAAAAAGACCCAGCACCCACTGGGTGGGAGTAATGAGGTGGAAGAATTCCATAAGCTGTGTAATACCCTATTAAAATTCAACATACTATTGCTTTTACAGTCCAAATACATTTACGAAAACCCAACACTTCTCGAACGACTATGAACTTGAAGGTCACGAAGAACAAACTAATTTCTCTAACTCTGAAATTTCTGATTTCTTGTTTACAGGAAGAGGAGCTTCCACTGCCAACTACCAGCTTCGTCTGCAACTTCAAAGGGTGCACTCTGGCCATGGAGGTCAAAAGGGTCACGGACAAGTTCAAGGGCGAGTTCCAGACGATCCGGGATGCCTTCGCCAAGATGGCGTACCTTCTGGCACACAAAGGTATTGTCTTGTATTGGGTGGGCCGGATAGTCTCTCTTCACAGCCAAGGGCTGAATTGTTAGAAGCTTACAATTATCGGGGCTTAATCGCAAGGTCTGGAGCGACCGCCAAACTAACCGAAGCTAGGTACTCCTCTACACCTGAGTGAAGTGAGGAAAGTCGTGTAGAGTGCCTTTGCCAAGGGCACAAGATCGGTGACATGGGTAGGATTCGAACCCGGGACCTCTTGGTCTTGAGCCAAACACGCTACCGCTATGCTACACGACCCCACAATTGTTGTTGTTGTTCTTCTTCTTCATTACTGCCAAGCCCCACATCTGGGCTTATCGGCAGGTTGCGCATCGGTTAGTATCATGTGGCCCGGTACATATAAACCAAGGAAAAGATGATAATAAGTATGAAAGGGATAATAAAGAAGAGAACATTAAAAAAAACTGATATTTTTTTTCCAGGCCATGTTTCGAACAATGTTTTTTTTTTTTTCAATATTCCGAAACATGTAATCACAAGACGTGGTGACGACACACTCAAGTTTTTTCAACTTATATTAATGCCGCCACCAACACAGGGGACAGTACAATACTCATTTACACCTGAGCGAAGTGAGGAAAGTCGTGTAAAGTGCCTTTCCCAAGAGCACAAGATCGGTGGCATGTCAGGACTCGAACCCGGGGCCTCTGGTTCCGGGTCGAGAACGCTGCCGCTACGCCACACGACCCCACAAATGTTTGTGTGTATCAAGTCTAAATTATAGGAATCTAATCTTTTATTCTATTCTCTCTTCCTTTTTATTATTTCCCCAGGCTGCGACATCGGGTACGTGTTTGTGTACGGGACGGTTGGCGACTTCTCCCGGTTCGACCTGTCCCACCGATGCGTGCCGATGACGGGCGAGTTCGGCGAGCTTGACGTCATCCTCTCGCGAGACACAAGAATCATCCGTCAGTTCGCGAGACACACCCTCAAAACCATCCCGTGGTGCTTCAGGAAAGAAATGAGAACAAACCTGGTCCCTGAAAAGGAGAAATTCGGTGTGTTCTGTGTGAGGTTATACAGCGTCAGGGCAACATCAAAGGGACAACAGTTTTCCGAGAGGACGTCGGATTCGGAAAGACTGGCGAACATTTACGCACAAAAGTTGGACTTGGCGCCATCTCTGATTTTCAACGCCGAGGACGCGAGGAGGGAGATAGAGAGAGTGGACGAGCATGTTCAGGTAAATATGTGTGCTCTGGGGCGATGTGATTGGTGCTGAAATGGGGGGTCCATCATACTTTAATACAGTACATTGAATGACTGGAACGAAGGAATCAAAACACATAGCAACCATAGGCTGAATTTTTTGTTTCAAGTACGGAATATAGTTACGGCGCATCCGCGGGCTATTTTCTTGGTCCTGAAATGGGGTTCCCTAGTTCCTATATATTAGTATACTGTACATGTATATACATTATAACGTATGCCAAACATTTTTCCGAGCTTGACACGGCGTCCTCACGCCGCTCCAAGGCTCGGTAGAGCTCTAAGCCACGACCAGAGTACAGTAACGGTGCCTCCACTAGTGATGTCCTTGGTGCTGAAATGGGGGATCCCAAATACTAGTACGTACTGTACATACATTATACGGTCTGACAAATGTCTTTCTGGGCTTGACACGGTGTCCGCTTGTCGCTGAAAGCCTTCCAAGAGCTCTAAGCCACAGCCGGAGTACAGTAAAGGTGCGTCCATAGGCGATGTCCTTGGTGCTGAAATGGGGGGTCCCTAATATCTACTGTATGCAGTATGTGTGGGTGCTATTGAAGTGCTACGTTTCCGCGCCGCGCCCAAGAGCGTTTAGCCGTGGACGGAGTACAGTGGTGTTGTGTGCGCGGGCGATGTCCTTG